TTTTACAGCATTTCCAGAAAGCAATGAGCTTGCAAGATTTTATATATAAATGTATGTATATGGTAATTCTGGTTGAAGAAGCAAATCTCAAATAATTCCTCCAAGTCTTTAACTGGAATCCAATAAACACATTACCAAATTACACTGTATATTTTGCTGGGATAAATTATCGCTATATGTATTAGAGGCACAGCATGAAGAAAAACAATAAAAAATATTAACCTTCTTCGTATAACTTAGGAGTTATGAAATATCTAATTGAATAAATTACATTTGACGTGAACAAATGACAACATTTCCATGTAATGTTGTCTTTTTTGGCTTCCTTACAAAGAAAAGCTTAAAGACTCCTTTTATTTAAGGCTGAGGTCTTACATTTTTATAAACTCAGCAATCAATACTAAAGCATGAGCATAAGCACTTTTTAATTTATGAACTGTATACTCAGAGCAAGTTTAACAGTTTAATCCTATGCATGTTGTTATAAGACTATTTATTTATGTTTTACTGCATGGGACCGCCTAATGGAAAAATATTGCATTAAAGCTTAAAAGCAGATGAAGCAGCCATTTATGTAGAACATCAAGAAAGAAAGAAAGAAAAAAAAAGACACGGCCAAATGAGTATCACGTGGGTTTCTAGTAAGCAGAGAAACACCATTAACTGGGTCAAAGACTCACACCAAATGGGCAGCCCGCACACTGCTGGAGCTGCCGGTTCACGTACAGTTGGGAGCAAGCCCACAGAGGTTACATATATTGTTTTAAGCTGACCTAGAAAGGACTTAACAAAGACAACACTTAAGTATAAAAATATCACTGCTATTCATCTTGGGGAATAAGGAGTGAACTTTTATGAGACTAGCTACAGCGTGAATCACTCTGTCCATTGTTCACAGCTGAAAATTATGTGACCTGCTGTTAGCGATGGAGGAAGAACAGCTTTTCCCACCATGCCCATATCCACATCTGAAGAGCATTTTCACAATCTGCATTTAAAATGTAAAAAAGCAGGCTGTTCCACTTTATAATATTGGTATTAGTGGCAGATGGACTGCTGGTTGCCATGAAGATGACAATATTCAGGGGAATTTTGATTAATATTAAATGAAAAGTGTCTTGATTTCCAGTTCTCTAGAAAAGACACAAGAACATATCTTGAGAATCAATAACACTGTGAATGCGAAGCAGGAACAACAAGGAGTACAGGTCACCTGTGGAGTCCAATAGCTGTTAAAGCACTGCAGCATCATGAAAGAGGAAAAGCAGAAAATCTAAAAGAAAACAGAAAATATAAATTCCACCTGTTTGCCATAAATAGCAATCCTATTCCTCATAACAGTACTCTGATCAAGCCCACGCATTAACCAGCGGATTGCAGAACAGCTGCCTACAGACACAAACCTGCAGAGCCCACATGTCGGTGGTGGTTGGCACCGCCTGCAAGAGGGGCAAACGCTACGAGTGGGCAGATCCAGCCCTACCAAGCTGTAGGTCACGTCCACCATTGCCCTACACCATGGGGCCCGAAGAGATACCTCTCTCCAGCCTTCAGCAGAAGACAGGACTGGGGCAAGCCCACACTTGCACTGTTAGATGTTGGGTTTCTTGCTCTGGTGCTTGACAAAATTTGGCCTGTGTAATGAGCCAAAGTAACAGGCAAGGAGGTTTGTTTCATAATTCTATCTCTAAGCCCACATAACACATGTACAGGGTCATATTATTTCATCCAGCTGCTTCAAGATAGGATGAAGTGCTCATGACCACATGTGGGATCAGATGGCTCACATGACTGCTACCTTTCTCAAAGACACTTCTCAACCTGCTTATGCAGTCAGTAATTAATGGGAAAAAAACCCCCACTGATCTGAAGAATAATTTCTGCAGAGCTTTCCAGTAACCTGTTGTTTTCTCTCAATGCTTTCTTTCTTACCTCTCCTTATGGTAGATTTTTACCATAAAAATCTACTTATGGGGGATTCTTTTTTCTCCTCATCCCATAAGGAGTATAGACTGTGTTTTTCTTATTTTATAGTAGCAGTATCCTGATATCTGCTAGGAGTTCAGTTAAAATAGGTTTGCTCTACTCGAACTGAAATATCAGTCAAATGAAGATATGCATTGAAGACCAGGCAATTGTGTGGGCTGGCCTCATTATACAAGCAGCTTTCTCATTTAATGTAAATGTCTGCATGCATCTGTGTGTATACACAGGAAAGTAAAATCCTTAGCTGTAGACAACAGCAGGAAACCCCATCCTGTGGCTCCTTTGGATTCTGAACCAAGGGAAAATGCTTTTCGCCTTAGTCTCTCAATGAAATCACTCAACATTCATGCTGGCAGAGCTCATGGTATATCTAAAATTTCTCTGAGAAAGACAGTATTGAGAAAGATAGAGGACGGAACATGGCTAAAACATTGAATCACAGCCCTCAAGGAAAGGAAGACAGAACACTGGCCAACCTCAAAATGAGACACAAGCAGGAATCCTTGTCTCCTCCCTCCTTCACAGTCTCAGTACTCTCAAGCCTCCTTACACAGGCTTGCCCTGTGAGCCAGCAACTTTTCCATTCACTGATTTCAAGTAGCTTGGTGTCTGTCTATATCTTTAAAGATCTGGATCTGAGCTTTTTCAAAATGATCTTCACAGTTTTACCTTATTATGATCCAGTTACCCCATTACAAATTACACAAGCAAACCACAGCGTTATGAACACAAAAATAGAGAGCTGACTGCAAAGGAAGGGTGACGGGACACCGTCAACCGCTTTGAATACTTTTTTCCGTAATGAGCAATAGACAAAATCTTCCAGACCCACTGAACTCTAGGACCTAATATGGCAGTGCTATTTTGCCTCTCTGCAGAGGTTCTCATGATGCCTCAAATCAGTTTTCAAACAGAGTACTTGATGGCTTCAAGTTAAATGGCAGTTGTGATATTCTGGGAACTTGGATGGGCCCGTCTGAAAAGTCTTGCATTACAGCCTGTGCATGCTGAAATACATCCCCAGGAGCCCAGAGCTGCCAAGAAATCTCTTCTGTAGCTACACCACACATGCATGAGCATGACTGACCTTAGAGCAGGCCCATCCTTTCAAAAAATTCCCACAGGCAGTGGGATTCTTTCACTGGCCACATCCTTTGAGCTTGTAGCCATGTGACACTACAGACAGTTATGAAGGCCAAAGCCTTGTGTGATCTCGGGACCCATTTTGTAGGGAAAAAAAAAGAAATGGAAGGGAAAAAAATAATAATAATAAAAAAAATCAGTGTGACTTAGGTTTTTTGGCATAGTCAAGGCAAAAGCCTGTGCTGTCTTAGAACCAAAACCCAGATGCTGCTGTGGCAAGCAGGGAGGAAGAGAAAAAAGGCATTAGAGGGAATGGCAGAGAAAATCAGAACGAATGCTGCCTGGCTGAGATGATGATGGACGTATTAACCCCATGCATCCAGCACATATTTTACAGTGAGAAGAAAAGGAATATATCGACAGAGGATTGCTCCTAAATTTGCTCAACACATCCACTCTGCAGCGAGGAAGAGGAGCGCTGCTTTTCCAAGGAGATCGCCCACAGGGAGCGGCGCAAGGGAGGACACAGCTCTTCCCGTAAGCATTTTCCTTCATTAGCAGAGACCAGACAAAGGAGGCTGCAATAAAACGCTTCAATTTGTGAGGTCTCTCGTGTGTTTTCCTCGCCCCTTTGGAAGGATCAGAGCGCAGCGCGTTTGCAGCAGCTCACACGTGCCTAGTCATGCCCCACTTAACCATCACCCACCCTTGCCAGTTTGCCTTCTGCTCCAGCCACTCGAGGCTGCAAGTGCCAGCCCGCTGCCAGCGGCTGGGCTGCCCACCCGGCCCAGCAGCGGGCCGGGGGCCAAGGCCCACGGGCTACACGCACCGAGCGCGGCCACCCGCGTCCAGGGGCTCGGCTCCAGCCCACTCCTGTCACCAACACCCAGCTAACCGCTTAGAAGGCAAATAAGCAAGCGGCGCAGGAGGTTACAGCCGATTAACGGAAGGGCAGGGAGCACGAGAAGCTGGTTTGCTAGAAAGAAAAGCTCTTGTGCTGGGATCGCCAGCAATTAGCAACAACAAGACCTACAGAAATTTACGATGGAAAAAAAAATACCAAACCCTTCCTGTTTAAATGTTCTCTTTTCACATGTTTAGCTTGGATGGCTAGCTTTAAAACACAAACATAGCCTTGGTCTCAAATACAGAATAGACTCTTGCTTTGCAAAAGAAATATATTTCAGATTCCAAATCCAGGAGCATGGACCCACGCTCACCTTTTTTTCCCCCCCTTTCCTTTATTTTGGAAAAAAAGTGTGTGTTTTGTTAATGGCTATCAGAGTGACAGTTCAGGATGTTCACACAATTGCCTGAAAGGCAAGCTGGTTATTGCTGGCAATGTTGCCGCGTCCTGCCTGGAACACAATAGCAGAGCTAAGCTGCAAGACAATAAAACTGAGATTTCCTTCCTGCGCAGTTCGAGCTGGTAATTAGTTAGCAATCCCAGTGCAGCCCTGGCTTGTGTGGCCTGGTTACCAGCCCATAGAGGGGCTGTTGCTGACGGCAGAGAACCTACCTGGCTTCATTACTCTGCCGCTGAAGCAGTTTTCACCTGGCTCTCAGAACAGCACAGATCCTCCCCGCTTCAGGTAATGGGGTCCCCAGACAGAGCTGAAGCCCTGACCTGGATTGCAATGGCTCTCCAAGCTGTGTTTATGGTAGCTGTGTTTACTCTTTTAAATTGCAGACAAACTGCAAATTAAAGAGAATCATGGGTCCTTTAAAAATACACAAAACAAAACAAAAAAATTTGAAGTGCATTCAGCTCTGCTTTAATGTCCTGTTTTTGTTTTTCTCCAGCTTTGCTGGATATTTCAGAAGAAAATTTATATCAAAAGTAAAGCTCACTCCAATTAATAACAAACCTCAGCATATGCTTGCAAAAAAAAAAAAAAAAAAAGAAAGAAAAAAAAAAGGAAGAAAAGAAAAAGAAAAGAAAACAGCACTAACAGATCAGTAGTAATTTCATTAGGAAGGAGCATGGAGCACAGCAGGTCTGGTCCTGAATGGACACACAGAGCCAGTTAGCATCAGGTGATTATTCTGCATTAGATTGTGCACAGGTCCCAGGTGCAATTAAAGCTCCAGGATGCAAGTCACTGCACATGGTTAAAAGCAGTGCTTCAACTCTGGATAAGGTGAAGGATATTACTCCATTTCCCTTAGAGCAAATTGCAAAAATACAGGATAAATCTGCACACCAGTACAAGTAACGTGGAAGAACCAGAGCTAGCTTTCAGTGTGCTAATTAGGCCTAACCAAGTGCTATATTACACTGTTGTTGCAATCCACGTTGGAGCCAAAAATTGACATGCTGCCGTGTGCACAGGAGGCGGCCTGGAGGTCCCAGGAGCAGGAACACGCAAGTCCTCAGTGCCAGATGCTTTTCCAGCTGAGATCAGTGGCAGCAGGACTAAGCCACTGCAGAGTACTTCTGAGAAACCCTTAGATGCAAAGCACCCTTCCTCCAGCTTCCAAAAGCAATCATGGATTTGGGGAAGAAAAAATTAAAATAAAACGTCCACGTTTGACCAACTTCCAGTGCAGCACATGATGGACGTTTCTGTGCAAATGCTTGCCCCAGAAGCTGCTAAGCTTGAAGAGCACATTACCCTTTCTCAGGAAGCTGGCAGAGCGGGGGTGCCCGGGTTTCTGTGCCAGTGCTCTGCAGTCGGGAAGCGGGAAGGCTCTGGGAGCCTGCGGGTAGCCGGCCAGCTCTTCAAAGCCTTCTGCTGAAGCCCTCTCCACTTAAAAAAAGAAAAAACAAAAAGGCAAATAAATTGGTGACAATTGAAGTGTTGCATATTTTTGCCTAAAAATAGCTCTCCCACAGTCTCACCCTGCTTATTTCACCAGCGCTCCTGACTGCCATTAATTTATATTTAGAGGAAAAGAGAAGGAATCACAGTGCTTTACTTCTTTACATAAACATTTGGTATTTTAGTCCGGAGCATTTTGGACATCCTTTGCAGTGCTGCACAGAGGCCCCAGAGACGGCTAAAGGTACATGCAATGGTAAAATCACTTTTTTTTTTTTTTTTTCCAGACCCATTTTTAGCAATACCTGTCAGCATTTGGCTGTGTGCAGAGCTGTGAGAGCGCAGCTGCCCCTGCAGAGCTGTCACCGCACTGATAGCTCCCGGCGGCAGGCGGGTGATTGCGGAGATTAGAAGCAGAGGTCTCTTCCCGACAGGCCAAGGAGGAGAGCCCCGCGCTCCTGCATCCATCAGTCTGCACCCGCATTAATCCCTTGCAAAGGAGCGGGGCTGGGGTGAGGGAGAGTGCCAGGATGGGGCTATTTGTGCCCGGGCATGTGGCTGGAGTGCCTCTGGGGCGCACGGCTCATCCCTGAGCGCGTGGGAAGCTGGAGTTTACTGGAACGCCCTTTCTGTGGCCAAGGGCTTCCTCAGCAGCTCTGCTTTGGTGTTGACTATCGACGAGAAGGGCCAAGCGATGCCTTCCACCTTGCTTGCTCTCTGGGCACACCAAGAACGGAGGCGAATCCTGCCCATCCTGCCTGCCCGAGGGAGCCTTGCCTGGGCCCAAGGAACTGTCCCAGTTTGAGGCCCTGGGTGCTGGGGCAAGAAAAGCGGCATTCAGCCCACGGCGTGCAGCGCCACGTCCCGCAGGGATGCTCAACACGCTGCCGAGTCCCGCAGTCTGCTCAACAAGACTGACTCCAGCTGCCGGGACCGACACTGGAACTGCAGCCGTGCCCACATTGGGGCCGTAACTCGGAGTTTTGCTGCTTCTCAAGTCCTTGGGAGAGAGGAACAAGGACACCACAAGGCAAAGGGCAGCGGGCGAGACAAGATGGGTGCACTCTAGCAGCAAGGGGGTTTCTTGCCATGTTAGGGCGGACAGACTTCTCCAGGGATGGGGGCATTTTGCTTGTTTATAGATTTGCTACGTTTTATAGAGTGACCCCGTCAGGAAAACTGAGCTGCATAAATCCAGCTGAATACAGCTGAAAAACACTTGGAGGCCGAAATCTGTATATTTTGGAATGGGCAGCTGCTGCAGGACACTATTCCCTTAAAAAGGGAGGAGGGAGGAGAAAGACTCGGGGAAGCAGGAAAGAGAAGGCCGTTCCCTGCGAATGCATTCCCATTGGAAACACACGCGCTGCACTTCATTTATTTGTTTTGGAGCCGCTCTGGGGAGCCATGAACCAGCAACGGGCCAGAGCTGGCCAAAACTGCTGACGGGGGCTCAGCTTCGTTTAATTAAAATTGCGGTATTCGCGTCAGCCCGGCCGAGCGCCGCTCGAGCAGCCCTGCCCCGCGCCTCGCACGCGGTAACGCGAACGGACGACTCCGAACGGGGAGAACGCTCCCCAGCCTCCACCGTTATCTCTGGAGCACTCTTGAGCTGCGTTTTTGGCAGCTGCTCACAGCCCCGTTCCTGCCTGCAGCGGCTGCCAGGGAGCCTTCGCTCCCCGGCACGTTTCTCTTCCCTGCTCCCTGGTGCTCCGGCTAGCAGGATCTCAGCAGGGCTGGAGAGCTGTGATGGGCCACAGCTTTCCTCCCCTCGTGGAGAGGGATGAGGCCTCCTCTGACCTGCAGCCTGCACGAGACTCAGCTCCCAAGGGACAAATCTCCAACAGGAGGTTTCCCCAGGTCTGCTCCACACCTTGGAAACATCTCAGGCTCCATCACCCTACAGCCTGGGGGCAACACCAGCACAGAGCTGGGCTTTCACCTCACGAGTCGCCTGAAGAATGAGCCCAAATGAACAGCAAGCTACCGACCAGCAGCCTCTGCAGACACCCTGGAGGTGACGTGGGATCTTTTATGTGCCTCAGGTTCACACAAATCTGTGTGGCGATGCCAATACTGCAGGCCCAGCCCCACTAAATCATCCTTTATGAGCACATGAATACATGTTTCATTCTTTGTCACATTTACTATAGGCAGTGGTTTCATATATCAGCTCCCTTTTAATCACAACTGCCACCTTCCTCCAGCCATTCAAATTTATAGCAACATTAATAGTTCAAAAATAACAGTATTTACTGAGTACTGATTTCAATAAATTAGGAGCAAACAGCAGTGCCCACCAGGCTCCAGAAACCAGCAGAACTTGAATGAATGTAATCTTTTTCACATCGATCAACAACACATCCTTGTCTATCAGCAGAAAGTTTCCATCGGAGCTGTACGAAAATCACTGTGGATTACATCATATTGCTTCAAAGTAGAAGAGCGAAAGCCAAAGAGAAAGCAGGAAAGCATTTTCTGTGTTCTTAAAGAAAATATCACTGCTTCAATTAGGTGCTACAAATGCTTGGAGTAAACATATTTTCCACTGGTTTTCCTAGAACCATACCCACTTAAATCCCCAATATTCCTCTGCATGCTCATTTCTCATCCCACTGTAATACCACGCCTCTGGGTGTCAGTGGTTAAGGAGATACTGCCAAGCAATGCAAGCCAAAAAAAGCTGGGATAAGAGGGAAAAATATGGCCTTTTTATAGTAAATAAATTTTGCAGCCTTAGTGTTATGGTTGCAGTCAGCATAACTCAGAGGGGAAAAAATTAACCCAGTGCTAGTTCTACCCTTTATTTCCTTGCCCAACTTAATGCCCAGTTCTCTAGATTTCAGTCTGCCCTTAGTCCAGTTGGAACAATACGAGCAAACGTGTGTTCAAGTCTCTAACAAACCTCATTTCTGCAGGGAGTCACTGCTATTCAGAGTTAAAACAAAACTAGATAAGACATTTCAATATTTCAGACATTAATTTCATTTTGTTTTCAATAAAACCTCGAGTCCCAGGGAATCTAAGTGTACTGTAGAAGTGACAATCACATAGCAATAAGATGGGAATGATAACTCCAGTATCTGCAAGCAGTGCATGTAAACTGTACACAAACACAGGCAATATGCATATGAATATCTTCAAAATAATAAGAGTTAGCAACCTCACTGCCAGAACGAGCTAGCAGCATGCAGATGAGCAGTCCAGAAGATAAACACCTCTCGGCTAGAAAACTCCTTGCCAGGAGCGCTGATGCACAGGAATGACCCAAAGGCAGGGATGCTAGGGAAGCAGCGGGAAGCACCTTCCTCCCCATCTGCACATCCTTCTCTTCCTCCACTTCACCTCTCCATGGGACAGGTGGCAAAAGAAATAAGTTGATGTCACCTACACAAAGGACGAAACTCCTTACAACCCAGGCATCAATATTACTTACGACGCCAAGCCCACTGTGGTTCTAAATACGCTGCTCTGTTTTCCACTGACAACAACAGAAATTTTCCTCTCCGAGACACTACTGCGTATAACCCAGTCTTGGGAAAGTGAAGGAAGGGGAGATAGAGGGGAGAAAAAAAAAATCGGCAGCTTTATTTGTGTTATAAACGCAGCTTACTTTAGAGCTAAAAAAAATTCCTGGCATATGGTCTGCAACATCTGGGAGAATGTTAATGCCCAGATATAAAATTTGTTTTCTTTATTTCTCTTTCTTGGGATCCTATTTGGTTTTAGTGGGTTGTAATAAGATCTATTTCCTAGGCTTGTCTCTTAAATTTAAATCTCAAAGCAACATTTGTAAATATTACAACCTCTCAGTTATTAGGGTATTGCAGGGCTGAATTCAAATCAGTCAGAATATGCATAAATATATCACGTAGAAGTGAATTTGCAACACTTGCCCAAACAAACCTCCAAGAAATTGCTAAAAAAAAAAAAAGGCTAGCTGAGAAAGAAGGAAGAAAGACTATATTAGCATACCCCATGAAAACAAATGGCTTGACCTTGTGGCAACAAACAGGAACAGCTCCATTAATCACATTAAAAAGAAAAAAGGCTCAGATTATGAAAGTCTGCTGCTTAGGGGGCAGGAACCATCCCTTTTTGTTCCTCTGGCAGCAGCAAGCACCCCAGGGATTGCGAGGCGTGACAAGCGCTCCCAAGGACCGTAATAATTCCAAGTTACGGCAGTTTGGGAGACACAAGCTGGCAGTCCCAGCTGAGCGGCGCAGGAGATCTGCTCGACCCCATCGGCTGGCCCATCCGGGCTGGCTTTTGGGAGCTGCGAGGGCGGGAGTGGGCTCCAAGTGGAGGGCGATGCTCAGCTCGGTGCTGGGAAGCCTTCCCGGGACACGCAGCGGGTCGGCAGCCCCGCGTCCCTCCTGGGTTATTTTGCCCCTACCTGCAGCTAGCTCCGGTTTTGGAGTCAGGGAAGGCTGGGCTTCCTTCCCCTGCAGCCCTTGGCCTCCTTCTCCACCCCGCAGCGATGCTGGGCAGATTTTGCCACTCACCAGCCGGGCAGGGCAACCACAGAGCCACTCTGCTCGAGATCCCAGCTCAGGTCTGCTCACAGTCTCTTCTCAGCCAGCACCCCTCACACCACCTTTCCAGTCTCCAAAGAACACAAGAAACGCACCAACACGAAGCTGTGGAAACAAGGGTGACCCACCAAACCCCACAGCTGCACACATGAAAAACCCAGCAAACAGGTTTCCCTCGCATGCATGGGGATAGGGGGCCTGGGCACACACGTGCCTTTCAAAGGCTGCATCTCTCCAACCTCAACTGAGTTTGAAAAGGTTAGATTATTATGTATTATTCCCTTATTTTAGTCCTAATTCAGCAGTTCATTAAATGGCATAGTAATATTTGAACAGGAAAAAGATAAATTAAAGAAATAAACTCAAAATCAAATATAATGCCTTATCTTGTTAATTAGGGTACAGACTGTGTCAATACGAGTCCTTAATATATTAAGTGTGTCTCTGTGAATT